AAAATTTAAAAATTCCAAGTTTTATATTGAGCCAAAAAATGTCCGGAGACTTTTGGCGGGGGTCTGTAGATCGCGAATTGCCGACATTGCTTAAATAAATCTTATTAATCTTTGCTTCATATATATATATATATATATATATCAATGATTCTGCAAGCAAATTTGAAGGCAATTTAAAGTTAATTAAAGTCAATTTTAAATTTTTGCAATAAATGCTTAAAATAAATATAAATTTAAAATACGTTTTATTTAAAGAAAATTTCTTTATATTACACGGGTACAGTATATACTGTAAACTTGGGTCATGAGATATGAACTGACTTATCTACCGACTTATCTGTTATATACCCATACATTTCTTCATCTATTTCATATCATCGTAATAAAATAAACTTTTTTATCTCTGTAAAAAAATTCTAATAATAAAAGCGCCTAAAAAATTAAATTAATAACGTTATATGATGATGAAAAAAAAGATTTTTATAATTATATAACTAGAGTTTGCGGTTTGCGGGGGACTTCGTCCCCCGTTTAGCATTAAATAATTGATCGCGTAACCAATTCAATTAAACTTTAAAATTTCATTTGACAAATATAAATATAAACCAAAATTTTGAAAACATTTAATTATATTGATAAAAAGAAGTTTAATTTTTATTAATTAAATTAATTTTTCTATCTTTGCAGTTAATTTTTTTTTAATTATTTTTTTTAATTTTTATTTTAATTTGTATTTTATTTTAATAATTGATTTTTTTGATTTTTAGATTTAATTTTTTTTCGGTCCTAGATTACATTTTTTTTTCTAAGTTTTTTAATACATGCAAGTTATTAATAGATTTTTAAATAGCAAATTAAAAAAAAATATATATATATAAAAAATCGTGGATATTAACTAAAAATATTATTTAAAATTTAAATTTTTTTTTAAATTGTTTTTTAACCTTATTTAATACTCTCAAATGTTTTTTTATTAATTATATTATATTTATTAATTTTTTATATTTTAAATTTTAAATTTATTTTTTGATTTAATTTTTTTATTTAGTTTTTTTTAACAATAATACTAATAGCATTTTATATACTTTTTATTCTATTTAAATTTTAAATAAAATGATTAAAAGTCATTAAATAGTATAAAAAGTGAATTCAAGTATCATTAGAATTATGAACTTCACAAATATCAAACCTATCTTGATGAAAATTGAAAATTGAATATTTTTAGACCTTTTGAACAATTTTACTTAGACCATAAAAGCGATTTTCTTGAACTAAAGTCTGAAATAATAAAAAATGTTAAAAAAGTGAATTTGTGTATAATTAGCATTACAAACTCTACAAATATTAAATTTACTTAACAAAAAATTGATATTTGAGTATTTTCAGACCTTTTAAACAACTTTACTTAAACCACAAAAGGCAATTTTTTGAACTAAAGTGTCAAAATAAATGCAAAACATTAAAAAAGTGAATTTGTGTATCATTAATATTATGAATTTCACAAATATCAAACTTACCTTAACAAATATTGAGATTTGAGTATTTTCAAACCTTTAAACAATTTTACTTAGATCATAAAGGTGATTTTTTTGAACTAAAGTGCTAAAATAATGCAAAATGTTAAAAAAGTAAATTTGTATATTATTAGTATTATAATCTACACGAATACTAAATCAACCTTGACGAAAATTAAAATCAGGTAATTTTAAACTTGCTGAATAACTTTACTTAAGGTATATTTATATATTTTATTTGACTAAAGTTTCTATATTTCATCTGAATAAAAAAAGTAAGAGAATTTTTTTTTGCAAAAAATACTATTCAAAATTTTTTTCTTTTAATCTGAAATATACAAAATTGTTAATAATTAAACAGGTATATTATATTTGAATTTTTTTAATATTTTTTTTAAAAAATAAAAAGAAAGATTAATAAACTGAATATTTAAAATATATAATATAAAAAATATGACGCAAATAATAATTTTTATGCTAAAGATATTTTTTAACCAAAATAAAATGAATCGACAAAGATTAGCAAAATTAATAAAAATATATTTTATTTATAAATTTAATACAATATAAAAGTATTACAGAAAAGCTTAAATCTCAAATTTATTTTAATAATAATATATTAGCATAGATGTAGCTGTAACTGTAGTGGTAGCTGTAGCTATAACTGTAATTGTAGTTCATAAAACAGTTATATAACCTTTAAATTTGATGTTCATAAGATGCAATAATAAATAATAAAATCAATCAAAATATATAGAAATTGCTGTAGATTTGTATAACTAAAGAACAAATTAAACAAATAAATGTAAAAATGAATTATCAAAAATTTAAACCATTTATTGCTATAAAAACTTTTTGATGTTCAAATGATATTTGTTAATCTAATAATTATACTTGAATATATTTTATACATCTAAAATTCTTATCATAAGATACTTTATTTTCTATTAAAACTCTTTCAATCTACATGCAAATTTTAAAATCTTTCTATATTCATTATTTTTTATTATTTATGATATTTTTAATTCAATTTCAGTGAATTTAAACTTTCATAATAAGTTTCTAAATTTATTAGATTTCTTTATTTTAAGGACTTTTATTTAAAGATTATATATTGATATCATACTTATTATAAATTTAAAATATATATTAATTAAATATCTATAGAAATTATTATGTTAAAATAAAAATAGATTTGTCAATATATACTGTATTAAGCATTTGTGAAATGTATTACTTTTATTTATCATTTAGTAAAATTTTTTATGTTACTTTATGTAATGTTTTGTTATTTTATTGATATTTTATTCATAAAGCCATAAAGACAAATATATAGAATTATGTGATATCAAAGTACATGAAATTTTCAGTTATTTGATGAAAATACTGAAAATATAATTACAAATTCTTGGCAATATTTTCTTATTAACAACTAATAATATATAAAAATTATTAATGATAAAAACACATATTACTAATAACTTTTTCAGTTTAAAATATATTTACCTTTAATACTTTCAAATCTGTATTTATATATGATTTTTTTTTTTATAATATCATATGGGTTAATTATTAGAAACAGCTTCTAAGAATTTTTTAACAAAATTGAAATTTTTATTACTTTTTAATTCTTGATGTATTAGATTAAAATATATTAAGCTCTTAATTTTAGTCAAATTTTTTGAAATCTGATTTTTCCAGAAATCCTCCCATATATATTTTTAAATACATATAAAAATATTACATATCTTTTTATATTATATCCTGTTTTTTGATCATAATTATCATATAGATTAACTTACAAAAGATGATTTTCATTATGATAATTATTAGCAATAAATTTAAACACATTTTTAATTCATTTTTTAAAATCTTAACTTGATATTATAGGACTACACAAAGTCTATAATTCATCTCTTTAACAACTTTACTACTAATTTTTTGTTACAAAAATGCGTAAATAAATATTAATTATATTCTGGCTAATTAGAGATGAGTAAAATTTTATTAATATTAAATAAATGATTAGCTGAAAGCTGATCATGTTCTGATTCAAGTAAAATTTTACTATTCTAATTAACAGGTTTATCCCTACTATTTATATAATTTTATTATTTATGATGCAATATTATGTTATAAAGTCAAGAAATCTCAAGATGATATATCACATGACCCTTACAATAAAATAGATAAAAATTGAAGGAGTTATAATAATAAGAGATTAGAAAATAATCAATTGAATGGAGGGTTATAAAAAAATCAGCCAGAATTACATGATAATAGATAATTTATTAGGAGTAATTTATTTCTCATCCCGGGTGAGATAAATTATTTTTCACCCCTTATAATTTTTTTTGTATGCATTTTTTATTAACAATAATTATTATAAAAAAAATAGCATTTATCAATATTTATTATTTAAATTCTGCACCAAATAAATATAACAATTAAAGCCAAAATATCGCAAACATGCTATTACTATAAGATTAACACAATCTCATACTATTATTAAGTGAAACTAATAAAATAATACTTTGATCTCACACTATAAACATATGATTAAGTATCATAACCTAACCTTAGAACAGGTGCTACAATAATGACTATATTCCTCACATGAGCCACATTTACGACATCTATCAGATATTGCTTATTCGCCTCCACTATAGATGCCTGCCGAAACTTTCTCAAAATAATTTCGTCATACCCTTTCTATATTTTTAATATAGTTTTGACAGTTTCAGCTTTTGTCATATCGAAAGGGTTTCATCGTATCCCTTATTATGATTTTAATATAGTTTTGTCTAAGTTTCGACTGTTATTAAGGGGTTTCGTCTCTCATCATTAGCCTCCACCTTTGCCTTTTAAATCTAATTTTTCAACAGATGACTTCAACCATTTTGTTGGTAATCTTCCTTTAGGCTGACGCTTTAATGGATCTAAGATCTGATTAAAATCGATCAATACTCCTTTTGTATTACAAAGGATCTAATTGTTATTCATTTTTCTATCTGCTAAAGTTTTTTGTTGCTTAATCAATTCTGTTGTATTAGTTGAGCTTCTTTTCTTTTATTAAAATCCTTGATAAACTGAATCAGTTCATCATCATCTTGAATTGCAAATTGAATTACCTTTTGGCTTCGCCCATTAGAATATCAAATTTTAATTGATTTCGTAATATTTACTTGGAATACCTTTCTGAAAAATCATTTATGATGTATTTTCAAGCAAATTCTAAAGTAATTTACGCACTATTTTGATCATTTTAGCTATTACTTATAATTGTCTCACTAGAACAGGTATCGCTTGAATTGATATATTCATTCTTATACTAACGCTTAGGAATTAATGTCAAATGAAAACATGTATTAGAAGATTCAATAAACACTTTAAAGAAATGCCTGCATATAATACCATAAGTGACAAGCATAAAACAAGTGCATAAGTATTCTCCAGTATTAAGTAGAATTACATGTTGATAGCATTTCAGGTAATTGTATTGAAAAATCTTCCAACTTCTAAAATATCGTTAAAACTAACTATCAAAATCAAAGACTTTAAGTCAAGCTTCTGATCCTCATCAGCTTTAATAAGAGATTTGGCAGAATCTTCTACTTTATCAAAGAAAGATTCAAATGAACCATCATCTGATACTGGAATTTCAGAAAATTGTACTTAATGTGCACAATAGTATACAGATTGACACATTTGTTTATAATATGCATCGTGAATCGGCTGTGTGAGATATTTATTTATGATACTATCAATATTACTAAAGAATGTTTATATGATGAAAGGTTGTATATACTATAATGTTGAAGCTTTCCAGATTAAATAATGATTGTTAATTAACTCAAATTCCAACTGATTTTCAAGAGATTCTTGAACTTATAAGAAAGAGAAACTTGACTGCATGGCCTTTTTTATTAATGCATTTTCTGATTCTACATGCTGTATAGATTGCATTCCCGCTGTAAAATGTCATAATGTAAAGCATTTTACCCAAATATGCTTTTGATTCAATAGCATTGTGTTTATATATTTGCTTCCCACCTTATATTTTTCAACTATCCCTTTGGTTCATTTTTTAAATACATTTTCGCAATAAGAGCGTTGAATTCCTTTAAAATCTTTAAAGAATTCCTGATAAAGTGATGATCCTAAATATGAATGAAAGTTTTTTGGAAGATTTTGATAGAGATGGTATAAATATTGCATATGATGAGTCTCTAGAAATACTATAGAAATAGCTGCAATCATTACGGGGTCAGCATCAGTTACAAATGTTAATGGAGGAATTTCATTTACTTCAAGATAATATTGAAGCAACTATTCGTATGATTCTTATCTTTTATCCTGCATAAATGCTTGAGCTGCTAACCTACTCTTATTATAGTTATCGATTAATATGAAGAGACTTAACAGATAGTTATATTTATTCGTTCTTGCAGTATTGTCATGAATAATGATATTATAAAATTTTATCTACCTTTTATGCTACTCTGGTAACATTCAAAAAATACCAACTAACTGGTTACTTGTGTTATCTATTAATGGCTTTACAAACCATGCAGGATCATTAGCTTATAATTTAAGAAGCTTCATTAATAGAGATGCTGTTTCCCCTAAATTTAATCCCTTTTCTCATTTAATTCTTTGAATTGCATTCCCTAGATCTTGAATATGAAACATATGATCAGGATACTTTAGTTAAAGGAGGTTCCTAATTGTTTCTGCATCACATCAGTCATGCATAACATAAAATTCTATCTGTTCCATGATTTCTTCAGAAAAATTTTTGTAAGTAGTAGAAAATTTTACAGTTTTAATAGAAATCTCATGATTGTGTTTATTATTAAATAATGTTACAGTTGCTATTGGTGAATTTGATCATCTATTAACGTTTACTTGCCATATACAGCCTTGCTTTTTGCTTCCTTTGCTTTTTTCTTTATTTAATATCGGTCTTGAATGTTTTTTAACATACCTTCCTCCCAAATCACACTTAAATACCCTTTTTCTATAAGTACCATCTGAAAATTTTCAGTTTTGTGCTTAAATACGGCAAAGTTATTTTGAAGAGCGTATTGTTCTATAAAATGTATCGTGATTTCTATAGAGTGAAACTTAGTTTCTAACTCAATTTAAATCAGAGTATTGATTGGTAGAAAAACACTGTTATAACCTTCAAATTTAGAGCCTAATACATCTCTAAAAACATACTCTTCTTCATCATTATTATTATTGGTGGGTTCTATAAAGGGTGCGGCATTACAGAACATGATTAGCATAGGCATAAAAAGTAAAAAAATACAAATGTTTAACAAGCAAATAAAGACCTTTCATGAAGGCTTTAGAGGTAAGCATATTTATAATATTAGAGCAGAATGAGTGGTCATTTATTACTTATGAAAGATATTAAAGTGGTACTAAAAATTTTTGAGAAAAAAAAGCTCAAAACAAAATTCAGAACACCACCGATCAAAGAAATTGGTGAAAGAGTTTTTGGAGGAGAAAAAAACTCTAAAGGAAAAAAAAACTTCAGAGAAAGAACTTTAAGGAATATCACCAATCAAGAAAACTTCAAAAAAATTGGAAAGAATTTTCAAAGAAAAAAAAAAAACTCCAAAGAAAAAATTTTGGAGAAAAAAAACTTAAAAGAAAGGAATAAATTGTCAATACCAGTAAAGAGGACTTCAAAGAAAAATGACTTTCAAACTTCTCTTTTCAAAAAAAAATATAAAGAAAAAAAAATGCTGGAGAAATAACAAAAGACTTCAAATCTCTAAAGAAAAAATCCTTCAAATTTAAACTCTTTGCAGATTGAAAAAAAAAAACAACTTTTCTTCTCAAACTCTAGTAGCAAAAAAGTCAGAGACAAACAGTATAAAACTCTACTCTTTGTTATAAAACCCTTCATTACTGTTAGAAAAGAATCATTGTGGCTTAGAAAGCAAAGGATTTTATACGCAGCTATTTTTTTTTTATTTATTATTATTGAAAATTTAACGTGACTTATCTGGATCTCTGATGCAATTCGTTGATTAGCCAGTTACGTGAATATGGGGTGAGAAATCACCCAGATGAGGAATAAATTTTCTCAAATTATAATTTTATAATTTATAAAATTACGTAACTCATAAATTATTTTTTTTGTAATATTATAAAAAATCAAATTGACTTATTTCTTTTATAAGTATATATAATATAAATTCTTATAAAAAGAAATTTATGTAATAATCATAAATATATCATAGCAGTCACTAGACATATCACATGTTAAGTAGGTCAAATGGATTTACTAGTTAAATATAATATGCATCTTATCAATCACTATTTTTATTATGATCAATTAGTAAAATCTTAAATTTCCAGTTTTTTCGTCATCTGTAAACTTTATTTTTATCCAATAAACATCATGAAAAAATTTTTTTTCTCACTCTTTGTATTAAGACCAATGTATCAATATAATTTTTCTTATAGTTTATTAATAAAAAATCAGAAGGATTTCTTCATAAAGTTGGTCACTTTTTATTAAATTTTAAATTTACGAATTTTGAAATGAAAAATTTTGCTAGTAATATAAGCAAATTTAACTTTCAAAATTATAATATTGATGACTATAACACCATAGAGAAAGAATATTATTCTAACTTCAGTGATATTGATGAGGATTTAGATGATGAGCTGGACATATTTAAGTATAATAATATTGGTTTAAATAGTGAAGAAAATTCAAATAATTCTAATTTTTTTCAACTAAATACAAATGCTTTTTGATCTGCTTGTCATTTTTCAACTATTTTGAAGGAAACTGATAATATAGATAATTATATGAGGCCTTTGCAATAGAAAGGGAGGAAACTCCAAAAAAATTAAAATTTTAGTTTATAAGCCAAAAATGTTCCAAATACTATAATTTGTTCAGATTTATTATTAACTTATTTTTTATTTTTTTTTGAGTTTCCTTCCTTTCTATTGCAAAGGTCCCATATGTTAGAATTGGATAGCAATTTTGATGATAAATTAGTAATTTCTATGACAACGAATATTACTAATAAAATACAATCAAATGAGATTTCTGAACCAAAAAAAATAACTAAATTTACCTCTTATATCTTAATTAATAATTTTAATGGTGAAATTAGTCCCTGTGAAAGTTCAAAAAATTTACATTGTATAAAAAATATTTTTGGAACCTGAGAAATTGACAATGAAATGGTTTATAAGGTAGATGATGATTTGGCTTCTTTGGAAGTTTGTTATTCACATCAAATGTATGATCAAATGAAATTGCATTTAAGAAATATGAAAGAAACTAAAGATTTTTCTTTGGGTTTTATTAGTAGTAGATGATGTCTTTTTTGTAATATTAATAAAAGCTTTATACTTGTAGAAAACATTGTGATAAATATTTTTGAACATTAGTAGGTCGTAATTTACAAATTCCTTATAGTGATCAATATCATTGTACTTTTTTAACAAATATTTATCCAATTTTATATCCTAGTTTATCTAATAAGAAATTATATTATGTATGTACTTCTTATTATGAAAAACATGGTGAGCATTTTCATCAAAGATCTGAGATAAAAGGAAAGCTAGTGTTAATTGTTAAGAAGATACTTCTCATAAAGATGATGTTATAGAATCTTTTCATTTAATAGGTAATTAGTTTCTTTACGTTGTTAAATATGAATCACTTAATTTTCAAGCATAATTATCTCATGAAACAATTAATCTTTTAAAACTTTTACCTCACAAAAACTTAATAATATATCACAAACATCTACATCTACTTCTGAAGAAACTAAACCTATTAATACACACAATTCTTTTATTATTAAAGCTGCTTTTAAATTAAACAAATTAGATTTTTTTGATTGTAAATACAAAAATATTAGTGAAAAAGAAAGTTTTAAATTTAGTGAAGAAATGGCAAGAACAATTTTAAAAAATAGAAAAAATATTAATAAAAATAAAAAATCATTTGAAAATCCCAATTCTTTAATTAAATATCATAATACCTTTCTTTTTTTACTTTTTAATTTTATTTTGGGTTTAGTAAATACTTTACAATTGTCAAAGTTTAAATTAATTGCTAGAAAAAATAAGTCTCGTGGTAAATTTACTACCCTTTTTGATCTAAATAGTACTATTAAAACTAGAATTTTTCTTATGTTTATAGTTTTTCGTATTGCTTTTCCTAGTCTTTAACTTTAGCTTTCAACAATGCTTGCTTCACTTGTAAGAAAATCAAAACTTACTTCACTTCTTCAACAATTACTTATTACAATTCATGCAGTTACATATACTTCAAAACATGAACGTATATTAAAAAATATTAGAATAATAATAGCAAATTCACGTAAAAGGATTTGGATAAGTGATGATATTTGGAGTATTGGAGTAATCGATAATATAGATTTTAAAGAAAAAACTTTTGCTTATTCAAATATTTTTGATCAAACAAGAAGTACAACACATGCAATATTACGTATAGTATTTCAATATAAAATGCCTACTTCATTTTCAATTTTCTTAAATAATATTCTTCCTATATCTGATATTTTAACTTTAAACTTTGGTGTGAAAGTATTAAATCTCAACAATTTATTCTTAATTTTTATCAAATTTTTGAAAACTTTTTACAATTTTCAGGTTAAGAAATACTTTCAAATATTTTCAAGATTTTGATTTATCTAATATATATTAGCAAATTATTAATGGTATAGAATTGGGATATTAGTTACTACCAGCAAATGTAATTATTTTAGAAGCTGAAAATGAACCAAATTCAAATAAAGGAATATTTAAAGCATGTGATATATTTTTACAAAATCTTAATTTAGATAATAATAATATATAGATATTGTTTCTGATAAAGTTATTTTTCGAAAAACTATACATTATCTTGAAAAAAATACATATATAAGAATAATCCTTGGTCAGTGACATACAAGTAAGGATATGTGTAGTATACTTATAACAATATTTTCAGGGTTTGGAATATTTAATTTAGTAGCTACTTTAGGAACTAAATTTTTAGATAAATTAGAAGCTATAGTTAATTATCGATTTACTTATCAAGTATTAGAAATGATTTGATTTGTGATAGGAGTTGCACTTCATATTTATGTAAAAAAAATATAATAAAATAATTGAACAAGTAATAAATGAAAATAATTTATTAAAAACTTGGTTTCTTTATTTTAAATGGGTTGGATGATGAAAAGCACATTGAATTAAAATTTGAATAGGTAATTTTGAAATGCAACATGAGTCACTTGCTACATTTGCACCACTTTTTCCAGTAGCTGACAAACTTAATTATGATTTATCAGTTACCTTTTTTTAGCACATTTAGTAAAGCATCCTGAATTAAAAGAATTATTAAAATATATCTATTCAATTAATATTAGTTGAGAGAAACATTTTTTTGCATTTTATAAGACCTTAGAAACATTTGGAGTCAAATATATTAAACAAAATATATCTGGAAATCCCATTAATACAGAACAACTTAAAAATCAAATTAAAGCTATTCAAAGTGAAAAAGATCGAATTAATTTATTTTTATTTGAGTTTTTAGATGATAATACTATATGTCAAAATGATCAAGCAATAAAATCTCGTAAAGAAACTATTTGAAATGTAATAAATTAACTTATTATAGCATTTATAATCTGATAGAAAATTTTCTCTTTCAAGATATTTCTGAATTATTTAACATAACTGTAAAATATACATTTGAAGAATAGGATAAATTATTTAATTGTTATTCAATTAGAGAAGGACGTCTTAATGTTATATTAAAACAAGATGTTTTAAAAAATGAAAAACGAGTTGCAGCAGGTCAAAGAATAAAAATATTAGGTATCATATAATAGAAAGGCTTATAAAAATATTAGAGGTCATGGTAGAGGTAAAATTTAAGATAAAGGAAAAGACCAATCTGAAATAACAAATTAAACTTCAAGTTCAAGTAATTTTATTTCTTATTCTCAATCTTTCTCTAATCTAAATAATTCCTTTGATCAAAATATTTTACTAAATAATACTTTAAATAATGCTCAGCAAGAATAAAGTTATTCTTTACAATCTAGTCTTAATACAGAAGTTCATAATATACAAATTCATAATCCTCCAAATCTAATTAATAATCCTTGTCTAACTAAATGTACTAAATGAATAACCCATAAAGAAGAAATAACATTTTTAGAACCATTAGTAAATAATATAAATGAAGAAAATATAAATGATGTTATTCAACAATTAAATA